ATAATAATATCATCACGTAATAAACGATTAAATGTTTCTGATGTTCGTCCATTTAAAAAAAATGATATATGACAACGTGATTGAGGTAAATGAATTTTTAAACTTTTAAGTATATCATCAAAATCATTTATAACACCCTCACTATATATTGTAATTAAATATTTATTTTGTATTTCATTTGGTAATGAATTAATAAGATAAATTAATAATGGAATATAAGCTGAATTTGAAATATAACGATATAAATCACCAGATATTATTTCACCTTGTTTATTTCGTTTAATAACATCACCATGACGTATATGTACACCAATTAATAAACTATCATCTATATTAATCGATGGACATTGAATAATAAATGAATTTGATGATATATATTGAAAATAATCAATTGGTAAATAATTTGATCGAACAGAAATCCCTGACCAAACTCCATAAGGTTCTTTATATAATTTTCTATGTTGTAACCACCATCGAATTTCAAAAACACTGCCCATTTCCATTAATGATGATGTAATAGTAAGAGTTCGACTAGAATAAAATGTAAAACCTACATCATTTTTATTCATATTCGATAGAAAACTTTCGAATAAAAATTTCAAATAAGATTTTATTGTAAATGGTTGTTTTCCTTGATGATATTGATCAAATGTTTGATTTGCAATTAAATCATATCGAAATATATTCCGTTTAATTGATGAATTTTTTGGACATAATTCATATGCTGAATAAGGTATTTCCCAATGATAAAATTGCCAATATTTTTCTCGGTCAAGATTTGTTTCATCTTGAGAATGTTCAGCAGTCCATTCTAAATGTATTAATGTTAAATTGAATTTATATGCAATATTTAGAACACCTAAATACCACATTAATTGTGAGCCAGTACCATGAAAAACACGAGATGATAATGAATTATCTAATAATAAATAACGACCATGTTCACAATCAATTTTTGGATGATATGTTAATAACATTGAATATTGTTTTTGATATTTATTAAAATAACGATTTAATGATTGTTCAATATCAGGCAAACATGGACTTTTATCCAACATACATCTATCTAATATATCATTCGATGTATAAGAATAGAAACTATTGAATTTTAATATTGGTTCAATAAAATAAAATAATAAAATTATACAAATAATTAATAGAAAGAAAAATAAATATTTAATAGAACCAGTATGCCTTTTTAATGAAGTTCGAAAACAAATACGAAATAATCGTTTTATTGAATAAATACGCATATCTAGAAAACATGAAACTCATGATAATGATAAATGAGAGTAATATCATCAGGGAGCTTGAGTACTTACAAAAAAATGCCAGAAAAAAACTAAACATGCGATATGCATATAGGAAGAAACGAATAAAAAATAAAGACTTATCGAATGGGTTTTTTCATCAATAAATTCAGTGATTTTACTTACCAAAAATTAGCTTAACATTTGCATATTTTTACTTTGCTCTCAGTATTCACTTCCTAAATGTTCTCATCAATTTTTTCAAGTAGTGTAATATATATTTGTTTGTTTAAGTCAATAGAAGAGTTTGATTTTCGTTTTTTTCTAATTATGCATCTGACAGAGAAAAATTCTGCACACATCCGAAATGAAAAGAAGCAAAGAAATTAATAAACTTAAGAGAAACATGTTCGTTTCTTCAGTTAATATTTTCAGATGTATTGATTACGGTTAAAGAAATTTGAAGAGTAAAATATTAATAAGATAATCAGCATATCAGAAAAAATAATGTGTGTATAGTAATTACAATTAAATATATTCACCTCTGATGTTTATCTCATTATATATAATGGCGGCATTTTCAAAATATGACATGAAGAACATTTTATTATTAAATGTAATTCAAATCATCTCATAGTATTTGTCGATGAAAAAGAGCTCTTACTTCTTATTCGTTCTTATCTTTTGATAAATGAATTCGATAATCTGTAGTTTATAACAGAGAGTATGAGTAAAAATGTGAGAACTGAGCTATAAAATGGGGCAGAAAGAAACAAATCCAAATATTTATCGTGCAAACATACAGTACGATCGTTATGCATATTAAGTATACAATTTTTTTAGTAATAATTCAAATATTTGATAGAAAGGTTGATATACGTATCATATTACAATGTAATATTCAAAAAAAAAGAATTTATGAGATGTTGAAAAAAATAAGTAATATGATAACATATTAAAACAACGCTTTATGTAAAACTATTTTGAGAGTATAGTTAACTACTGAACATCTATAGTGATTGTTTATTTTAGTGATTTATATAAAGTATACTGACAAACACAAGATTGATTATACATCGAATAAAAATGAAATCTAATACAATATAAATCTGAATCAGGTTCATTGATTAGGACTCTGGTCGAACTTGATTGTTCACTAATTGTGGTTTTCTCCATCGTTCTAAGTGAACTTTGATCAATACATAAGCCACTTGTTTACGAAATCTTTCAGATGCACAGATGTATATATAGAATGAACTCTAAAATGTCCAATCGATTAATGTGAATTGATATATATATACTATTTAAAACTTACCGCAAAATAAGAATAATTGAGAAGAACAGCTATAGTATAGGCAAACTGTATGTATGATTGATTAAATGCATTACTAGGAATATTTGGACTTGTTAAAAGTGTACTGACAATAGTATTTGGTAATAGAGTGAAAACATTTACAACTAATTGAATTAAAACCATTGTTGTTATTTGTTTATCTAGTTCACGTCGAACGATTGGTAGTGTGCGATAACTAAGTTCTTGCACATTTCGATATGCCAGTAGTCCAAATACAGCTGAAATACTCATAGGCAAAATGCCGAAGAGTATGAAAATGATAACATAGGAACGATAATAAGCAAAAGTAGGATTTTTACTAGTGCAACTAACTTGTCCTGTGGTCGATGATAGAATCTGCTCAAAGAAGATTAAATATGGAATTCCATGCAAAGCCCAAATGATTATATTGATGATAACGAGACGTTTAGCTCGTTTGATACTGCACCATTGTTGCCAACGAGGATGCGCACAAGTGGCACAATACTGGTCAAATGTGGCTAAACAGAAGCCTCCTAATGAACTTAATGCACAAGTTTGAAAACAATATGGTCGAAATTTGCAATAGAATAGTGAAGCTTGAGTTCCATCGACACCAAATAAAGCGTTGGTAATCACTGCGAGAAGTCCCGTAGATAATTGACCAATATTCATAACGGATATGATGGTTAGATAAAATGCACATGAACTCTGTCGAAATGTTTGAAGACTTAAAAATACAATAATATTGAGAAATTCTCCTATTACACCAGCAATAAAGAGTGGTATTCCGGTATAGATAGTGATCATTTTTCCAATAAATGTTAACGAAGAAGACATTTTCACATGTAAATTTAATCTGCTACGTTAGAAATGAAGTTTTTACTTATGATATTTATCTTTATTCTACGTTCATTAAAATTTTCTATTTAGAAAAAAATACTTTTTCCGACACTCATCTCTAGTTCACACTTGACAGAATCCGTTCTTCTTTTTCTTTTTGCTATATCTGTTTCTGACATATAAATAAATGAAAGCGAAAGGAATGTACTGATCATCCCAGTCATTTACAGATCTTTTCTTCACGAATCACTCGCCAGATTGTTTGATTAGTTTTTTATGTTTAACCAACATATCGTTCGAAACTATTGGAATTAGTTCTCGAAAAGTATAAAAATAATTCTGAAATTAAAAATATAATTGTCTTTGATCTGATGACAAGCGTCATGAAAGATAACTGCGCATTTTCTTCTAGCATTTTTTTGGAAAAATTAATCTTTTTACGTACTCATTTAAATTAGATAAAACGATAATCATGCATAAACGGAAAAATTTCTTTTAATTTTATTAATGGCATCTAGTTAAGTGCTAAATAACAACATATAAATGCTAAGTAAAAAATTCTATTTTTACTAAGTAAATAAATAGTTTTTGCGAAGTAAAAAAAATAATTTTTGTTAAGTAATAAATATAGAATATATGAATAAAAAATTTGATCGAACAGTTAATCGATTAGTAATACTTTGGTTGCTTTTCGGTGTAGTGCGAATACAATATCGACACCCACCCACCCACCCTCAAAAATTCAAGTATATGTGATGTGTGTAAAAAGAAACGAACGCAAAATAACGACTTGCCTGTCATTTGTATTTACTTTTCAAATTTATGGTTTTTAGTTGCTAAAATGTATTTTTTACCAACAATTCCTGAATGTGTAACTTTCCGGAATAGGATGAGTGTTCTTTAAATGAGCATTCAATTTATTTACCGAGTATATACAAATTTTACTTAGCACTTAAATAGGTGCCTTAGAATGAAATGTTTTTTTGAAAGTGATCGCTCTCATCATCAACTTCTCTTGTTTCAGTCAAATACAATTGAATAATCCTCTATATTCATTGTGCAATGATATTTGATTTTCTGCTTCCTTGCTCTATGCTACACGTGAATATAATGCGACGCAATTAGTTTATGACTTTTGTGGATGTAGACAATTTACGATTTCAGCTCATCAGCACTTCAAAGCAAAGTCGATTTTTATACACTAATTTCTTTAATGATGTATCTACTTTTAACGTTTCTTTTCATGAAAAAAGATAAAAGGAACAACAGAAAGAATAGTTGATTAAACATATAAATAGAATGTAGTATTTTTCAATATAGATTATCAATGAAATCAAAAATTTCGAGAAAATTAAATAATTAATAGCGTTAGAAATAAAGTTCTTGTTTGAAATAAATATTTACAAAGATAGTAAACGTTATGGCATTAAATCTCATATTATGATGCATCTAGAATCGTTAAAAAAACGAGATGATATATTTATTTGTTTTCACTCAATTTAAAAAGGCTATGGAAGTGGCATGGCACATTTTCGTTCTGTTATCGGTTAATCTGTATGAAAAAAGAACGAAGAAAAAATAAAATGTGTAAGCATACATTTTGGCATCATCATCGACGTGTAAAGGTTGGTCGATCGTCTTACAAGTTTTTTTTTCTTTTCATTTTGTAGAAAAATATCGTTTTTTATATGAATCAACATCAGCTCACTATGGTACCTACGAAAATAGACGTGTTGCCCGTTGAATTACTCCATTATATTTTTGATTACTTTTGGGCTCATGAGATTTTTTATGGTTTTTTTAATCTGAATGGCTATTTCGAGGCAGTCGTATTTAATTACAATCGGTATTCAGTCAACTTCCGTTCTATTCTTAAGTCTCAATTCGATGACATCTGTCGTTACATTACACCTGATCATATCGTTTCTCTTACATTATCAGACGACGAGGAAACACCCAATCAATCTGAGCTATTCTTTTCACTTTTCAATATCGAGCAATTTGTCAATCTTCGTTCACTCGACATAAGTTCAGTCGATAGAAAAATATTCAAACGATTATTCAATTTGCACAAACTGAAGTCTTTATTATCACTCAAGTTGCCTCGTCTTCTTAAACCGTATGATATACTTTTTGATTCTATTATCGAAAACTTAGTTCCTCAACTCAGTCAGTTTATGGTTCACGATACTAATTATCTTCTTACTAATCAACTGCAACATATGCGTCATTTGACTCTCGTGCATTGTCATTCTTTGCACATACCAACTATATTTCATCATGTATCTAACCTTCATTCACTTTCTATCACAATTACACTGGATTTATCAACGCAATGGGCTGATCAAATGCCATCATTGACACATTTGAACCAACTGATACTGAAGGTTTATTGTAAGTCTATGACATAATTTAGTAATTATTTATTGCTATTTTTTATGCTTAGCTGGAAATGTAACAATGACGCTAATCGAGCAATTTTTGAATAAATTACCTCGTTTAAAATATTTCGAACTCGAGAGCGAAGGGAACGAGGACCTTATTGATGGTCAACAATGGGAATCGCTCATCTCACATCTGATCACATTTAACTTTCGTTTTCATTTTAAGAATTATTTGTCGTCGATGTCCAACACAAACGTTTTCGACTCAT